CTGGTTTTAAGACAAGCTGCTCCCTTCTGAGTGTGCTGACAACATGGCATTAGACTGAAAACCAAACCAAATAGACTGACATGTCCACTCTCCTTGACGGAGAAACCACTGCCTCAGCCAGGCTGACCCAGGGGGCTGCCTCAGTTGGCTCTTGTTGTGCAGTCCCACTGCTGTTTCCCTGAAGCCAGCTGTAAAGATGCCTCACAGACTTGGGGCATCTGGTGAATTTTCTCAGAACACACGTGTGGAAATGAGTGTGAGGCTCATAGTAGGAGAAGTGCTTCGATTTCAGGTCAATTTTCCGTCCAATTGTGACTTCATCACAGCTCTTCCCTCCCTCCCTCCCTCCCTTCCTTCCTTCCAACAGTTTCACTCTGCCACCCAGACTGGAGCGCAATGGTGCGATCTCAGCTCACTGCAACCTCCGCCTCCCAGATTCAAGTGATTCTCGTGCCTCAGCCTCCCAATTAGCAGGGAACAGGCATGTGTCACCATGTCTGACTACATTTTGCATTTTTAATAGAGAAGGGGTCTTACCATCTTGGTCAGACTGGTCCAGAGCCCCTGACCTCAAGTGATCCATCTTGACCTCCTAAAGAGCTGGGATTATAGGCGGGAGCCACCGTGCCCAGCCTCCTTGCTTTCTCTGTGCCAGGTGCAGCTTGGACACTTTACCTGTGTTGGTTTCAGGTACTCCTCACAAAATGAGGAACCTCCATTTTGCTGGTGAAGAGATTGAGGCTCAGATGGGAAAGCTTTCTCCCACCCTCTGTGCTTGCAGACATAACAGGGGCTGTCCTTCTGTAACTCCACACCGGAATATGCAGCACAGTTTGTCCCAGGAGCTAGATGGTGCTTGTCAGGGCCTTTAGAACAAGAAATATGTCCACTAATCCTCAGAAGGGCTTCCACTAATCCTCAGAAGGCCTTTTCATGGACTGCCTTTTAGAGCCTGTGGTTCAGTTGATTCGTGCATTTCCAGCGATGCAGCTGTGTCCCATTTTCAGTATCTCAGGATGCTTATGGATTGATTTCAGCTTTGCCATCTCACGCTTGTCCATGCAGAACTGAGTCGTTTCAGGACATGTGGCTTCAAATGACAGAAGCCCACTCCAACTTGCTTAAGCAAAGATAGGCATGATTGAGAGCAGACTGGGGCATTGTGTATACCCGAAGGCCATGGTGTGTGGCCAGGCTCCCCAACCAGGAACTGCAAAGCAGCAAATCTGTCTCTTCCTGTGAAGGGCTGTTTCCTCCATGCCCTTCTGCTTCCTTCATCTCTTCCTGCAGGACTGGCTTACTCTGTGCACGTGGTTACCCTGCAGCTCTCAAATGTATTGCACCCAATTCTAGTCAGTTCAGAATAGATCACCCAAAAGTGATTGTCACCCAAGGCCACAGGACCTGCTTTGGGAATCAGTGCCCCTGTATGAACCTTTCCCATGAAGAGCGAGCTTTAGCTTCACTGCTATATCCTGGAGCCTATAGCCATGCCTGACGTCTAACAGGTGCTGAATAAGCATTCGTGGAAATGGATGGGTCCAGCTGGTTCCACTGCACTCCCCAGACAGTGGTCTACACTGCAGTCACAGTCACGCTCCAGTCTTGTGCCTTAATCATCTGCTCCTGGCGCCCCTTCACCAGAACTGCAACCAGTCAGAGGAAGGGAAAATCAAACTCGAGGTTAGGTGGAGTACCAACTGTGGGCCCAGCACTGTGGACAATGGAAAGGCAGCTCTGTTCTCAAGGATTTCAGTTAAACTCAAGATCAAAGCTGGCCAGGTACGGTGGCTCATGCCTGTAATCCCAGCACTTTGGGAGGCCAAGGCAGGTGGATGACTTGATGTCAGGAGTTCGAGACCAGCCTGACCAACATGGTGACACCCTGTCTCTACTAAAAATACAAAATTAGCCTGGTGTGGTAGCACACGCCTGTAATCCCAGCTACTTGGGAGGGTGAGGCAGGAGAATCACTTGAACCCAGGAGGTGGAGGTTGCAGTGAGCCAAAATCATGCCACTGCACTCCAGCCTGGGCAACAAGAGCAAAACTCCATCTCAAGGAAAAAAAAAACAAAAAAAACAAAGATTAATGCTAAAGAAAGAAATTGACTGAGGGACACCATCTCTCAATACAGCTGGGCTTCTCAAGGACCAAGTACCAGAAAGTCACCAGGAGGCAGCAGTCTCTGAGGCTCATTTTTCATGGCTTCGTCTTTGAGCAGTTAGCTCCATTCTCTCTCTGCAGAGTGGCTTTTTCTGCTTCATGTGTCTGTGGCCCATCCTGACGGCCCCCAAACAGTTACCTAACCCCTGAGACCACATTACTCAGCTGAACTCTCTATCCCAAGCCTGGCTCCTGGGGAAGACTTGCCTAGTCAAACTCAGCTTCTGATTGATTCTCCCTGGGTATCCTGGATCCATACCTCTGATCCAATCAGCTGTGACCTGAGAGCATGGAGGTCACATGATCCCAACAGGGTGCTGAGGAATGTTTGAGTAGGGTGGGAATGCTGAATGGGGCTTAAAAAAACCCAGAATTCATTCATATTTCTTCTTGCTGCTCGCTGATAGCCCTGGGGCCATGTGGGTTGCTACTTCCATTTCCCCCATCTTTGTGCTTTTATATTTACTTTAGGAATAAAAACATGATTGAGAGGAAAGAACTAGAATCTTCTGGTTCTTGCCTTCTTAGCTTCTCCCTACCTCCCCATTTCCTTCCCTCCCCTTTCTTCCCCTCCCCTTCCCCCTCATCCCTTCCTTCCCCTTCTCTCTCCTCCCTTCCCCTCACTTCCCTTCCCTTCATTTCCTTTCCCTTCCGTCCTTCCTTTTCTCCTCCCTTCCTTCCCCTTCTATTCATCTTCCTTCCTCTTTTCTCTCCTTTCTTTTTCTTCTTCTTTTCTAGTCCAAAGAGAGAGTCCTGAGGATGATAATACTAGCTCTGAACCAACAAGCAAACACAACAAATGCACTTTGGGGAATTTTGAGTGAAGGTGGCCTCCTGCTTTGACAGGTGGTTTTAACTCAATACTGCAGAGAATTTCCTTGCCTTGAGGCACTATTTAGGACTCCAAACCTGGGGTTAAAGCTACCAGCTAACATTCTCTCTGCCTTCATTTTAGAAAGAGGTGAGCCTATGCACTATATTGTATATCACTACATATCCATTATAATCTAAATAATTTTCTACTTGATCATTTCCAGGCATACAAGCAAGGTTCCTACATGCTATTTCCATTGCACTCCCATCTGTGGGAAGAGTCATGAACTGTTGAGGCCAAAGCAGGGCCTCTAGTGAGTTGAAGATTGAGCCTTTATTGGTTTCCTATGAACTCTCTAACAAATTGTTACAAACTTGGTGACCAATAACAGCAGAGACGTGTTCTCTCACAGTTCTGGAGGCCAGAAGCCCAAAATCATATTAACTGGTTTGAAATCAAGGTGTCAGTAGGGGGCTGCATCCTTCAGGGGCCCTAGGGGAGAATCTGTTCCTTGCGTCTTCCTGATTCCAGTGTCTGCCGGCATTCCTGGACTTGTAGATTCATCACTTTCATCTCGGCCTCTGGGATCACATTGCCTCCTTCTCTTCTGTGGATATACTCTCCCCTTTTGCTTGTGAGGACATTTGTGGTTGGCATTAAGAGCCCACCTGGCAAATCCAGGACAATCCCATCATCTCCAAGCCTTAATTTAATCACAGCTGCAAAAATTTTACAAGATAATATTCACTGGTTCCAGGGATCAGGGTCTGATACCTTTGGGGACCACCCATCAGCCCACCCAAGCCCCACAACTCCTTCTCCCCCATGGAGGGTCTAGACTAGGGAGACATCCCAAAAGGTGTCTTCCAGAAGCCAGATTGAGAGCTCTTCCACAAAGTCATGTGTCAACTCATCTGGGTCCTTGCTCTTCTGTTTTCCTCCCATTTATCCCCTGGTTGGGAAGAAGCGCAGAGAGTAACAGGAAAGCAAGCCCAGCCCAGGGACATGAGACACAAAGAGACATGAGTCAGCTCAGGAGTGGCTGGGAAACAGACCAGGCCTCTGGGTGTCCCATGCCGCAAAGCCAATCCCAACATCTCCCCTTTTAATAATGCATTGCATAAGGAAAGTGAAACCTTGGAACTTTAGTTGCTGCTGCCAATCTTGAGATAAAAGGTGAGCACTGCCTAACTGTCATCCCTTCCCTCTCCACCGGAGCTTGTTAGGAAACATCTGGGCCTGGGAATTTTCTTCCCACCAGGTTTGACACCAGCAGGCTGGCTCCATGCCCACCAATAGCAGGAAGGCTTCCTTTGGACTTGTTTTCCCGCACTCTCACTTCATGGTCAAGACCCTGACCCCAAAGGTCTCCATTCCCTTCCTCTGTCCCATCTTCAACCGTGTGTGATCCCCTGGGCATTTCTTATTCACTGCACTGCTTTTCTGGGCTGCACAGAGTCACTTTCCCCCTCCAGGGGGACATGCTTACCCACCCGTACACTTACACAGCCTGTCAGTTCTGGGGGCAGAGGACAAGCTGCACGGAGCTCCCTCCTGGGCTAGTTCTCAGGAGAGGGAGATAAGAAGGATTCCTAGACAGGTAGAAAGCTGCTGTTTAAACAACCAAAACTTTCTTTTGGGCACATGGGTCGACAGGGACAGCCTCTGAACATGAGAAGTACAAGTCCTCATTCAGAGTCTGGAAAAGCTCTTTACACTGAGCCATTTGATGGGGTGTGTAGGAGCCTAGGTCTTGGAGCCAGGAAACCTGGGCTCAAACCCCAGCTCTACCGCTTACTGGCAGAGTGACACAGGGCACTTACATTAACCTAAATCCTCTGTGAGCCAACCAAAAATGGCGTTATTACCAGACTTGGGTCTGGACGAAATGGCAATGATGTGTGAAATGCTCAGCACAACACCTGGCATAGTGTTCAGTACACATTAGCTATTATTATTGCTGTTTTTCCCTAAGAAAGTCAGTACTGGAAGAGCTGCTAAAGTAACTCAGCACTCAAATGTACTACATATAAAATATTTTATTATAAAAAGCTCCACTGCATGGCATTTCAAAAAGAACAGAACATTTCCTACAGTTTTTCTTTTTTCACTATTACACAGAAGAGACTAGTTAAGTGTACCAATTAAGACTATCACGTGCCTAAGTTCATCAGGCCTTAAGCCCTCAACAAAAGACAGCACCAGGGGCTCTGCAAGGGCCGCCACCTGAGCCACCACTTAATTCATAAAACAGCCTGTGTCCTTCCTACAAAACCAGGTCCTGCAGTTCAGGACTCCAGCGAAGACAGCAAACACAAAACTTTTTTTTTTTTTTGAAATAAAACAACCACAGTCTAAACCAGCTGCTAGGAACCCTTTCCTAGTTGGAAAGGAGAATGTGACCTGTGATTCAGTTAAGAGGATTAGGAGAGGCCTGTGGTGAGTATGGTCCACAGATTCACCAGCTCCAAGGCAGCATCCCTTTCCAAGGCACCTGCAGCAGGAGGCAGTGTGGGACCACAAAGTCACTCCTGATACAGAGAATCCCCTCCCCCCATCCAAATGGCAGAGCTGGCATCTCCACTTCTTCACCGTGGCTCACGTGGCTTTGTTAGGGTCTTGAGGGCAAAAGGTGTGAGAGACAGGAGGGAGTGTGGCTCAAGTGGGGCCGTTCAGTCGGGTGGCCGGGTGTCGGGGGCCTTCTCCTGGACTTCATCATACTGTGGTGGAGGAGTCAAAGGCTCTATCGAGGGAGGAGGGACGTTTTTGTCTGGGAGGTTGATCCTAAAGTCTTTGAGGTGAAGCTTTTCGGATTTAATCCTACGAACTTTGAGCGGTTTCAGTCGTTTGGCCAACTTAGAGTTCTGCCTGTCAGGGGTGTTCCCATGGCTGGCCTCCACATCAGCCCTGGTGGTTGTGGGGGTGTTCTCATCGAGCCCTGTCAGTGACTCATAGGATGGGAGAGAGATGCTCAGCCTTGGGTTCTGCTCCACTCCCCTTGCTTCTGAGTAGTTTGTGTTCATCACTTCCTCGTAGCTGGGGACATAGTACCTTGAGGCAGCCTCCTCCTCCTCTTCTTCCTCCTGGCTGCAAGAAGACACACAGGCAGGGAGTGTTAGCATGCACTCAAGTCATCTAAAATCCCAAAGAGATGGGCTCCAAAGAGTCCACACACAGCAGCCTTGTAAATAACAAATGGGTCTTAGAGGCAATAAAAGCGAAGATTCCAAGTGTTTACTATGAGCTGGGCTCTCTTCTAAGTACTTTAACTCATAGGAACCAATTTCAGATTCCTAACAACACTCTAAGTATTATTCATGCAAGACAGGTGAGTCCCCAAACCAGGGTTTAGCCTGGGAGGGTTCTTGCCTTCACCCAGGAAGGAATTCAAGGGTGAGCCAGTGACATTAGACAATCATTCTTTACTGAAGGGCGGGCACTGCTCCTTGTGGATGAGGGCTAACTCACAGGCAGTACACCCAGAGTTGGCAACATAGGGGCTCTTGGAAACTGCCTTTATACTCACTTATACCCACTTTCAATCACATACAAATTAAGGGGTGGGTTAATGCAAATTGAGGGGCAAACTATTTAGAACTTTCTAGGAAAGGGATGGGAACTGCCAGGTTGTTGCCATGGCAATTGTAAACTGTTATGGCACTGGTGAGAGTGTCCCATGCTGATGAACAATGAGGGCAGCCACGTTATCACCCTCATCGGTTTGCTGGTTTTGGTTAGTTTGTTCTAACCTCATCTGGACCACATCCTGTTTTGGTCAGCAGGGTTATGACCAGAAAACAAGTCCTGCCAGTTTCCATCTCACTATTATTATATCCAATTTATAGATGGACTGGGATACATCAAGATTAAGTGACTTGGTCAGACCTTCAGGAAATGGGAGGCCGGGACTGAACACTGTACTCCCGACTACTGCAGCATGTTATCTGGGTATTAAACTTCCTTTGCCTTGAGTCTGTCTCACTTAGCAACATGCCGGGTGAGCATGCGCAGCTGGGTCCTTTGGCCAAAGGCAACACAAAATGTACAAAGTAGCTACCAACTTTCAGTAAAATGGTTGCCTCCAGGTAGAGGAAGAATATCTGAAATGTAACATTTAAGTGTGTCTCAAATGATTCTGTAATTTTATTTTCCAAGTTTACCCACGACTCAAAAAGAGCAGGTCCTCTCAGCCTTATTCTCATTTGACTGTTGAAAGAGAAAACCAAAAGTCGGGACGTTTTCTCCATATTTATAGGAATTAACGCCAATAGGCACTTTCCAGGACCCTACACTTGAACCTGTGGAGTGATCCTGGCCAACGTCGGAAACCTCAACGTCTGCCTTGGTTCTCCTCCCACCCTCCTTTAGGAATGAGCTCAATGTGCTCACAGCTAGGGTAGGGGATGATGAGTATTTAATATTCCTTCTTTGTTCTTTTCTATATTTCTCAAGTTTTCTAGAATAAGCATGTGTAATGGTTAATTTTAGGTGTCAACCTGACTGGCCACGGTTGCCCCTTATGGTGAAACTCTTCAGAAAGTTTATAGCAGTCAACATTCCATCAGCCATCCATCTTCTCTACAACTCTCCAACAGTAGGGGCTGTCTATCTTGACGAATATGATGTGCAAAAAAAAAAAAAAAAAAAAAGACATCTTTTTGCTTGCATTTCATGATTAATGAAGTTGAACATCTATTGGTTGAACATCCAGGGAATATTTATAACCTTTGTCTGTTTCCTATTGGCGTATTCATCTTACATATTCATTTGTAAGAGCTTTTTTTTTTTTTTTTTTTTGACGGAGTTTCTCTCTTGTTACCCAGGCTGGAGTGCAATGGCACAATCTTGGCTCACCGCAGCCTCCGCCTCCTGGGTTCAGGCAATTCTCCTGCCTCAGCCTCCTGAGTAGCTGGGATTACAGGCATGCGCCACCATGCCCAGCTAATTTTTTGTATTTTTAGTAGAGACGGGGTTTCACCATGTTGACCAGGATGGTCTCAATCTCTTGACCTTGTGATCCACCCGCCTCGGCCTCCCAGAGTGCTGGGATTACAGGTGTGAGCCACCGCGCCTGGCCCAAGAGCTCTTTTTATAATAGGGGCATCAACTATTATCATATGTTCCCCAGTGTATCACTTATCTTTTAAATTTGTTGGTGGCATTTTTGCACAAATGGAAAATTGCTTCCCAGCCATTTCAAATCAAAGCATATACACAGCATGCTGGGGTAAAGGGACAGGCACCGAGTGTGAAGGCACTGGCCACTCCAGGCCCTGCTCAGTGGCCCTGGGCAGGTCAAAGTGTTGGCTCACTTAAGATTAATGGACTCTAGCTCCACTCAAGTTGCTGCAAAAGACAGGGTTTTTTTTTTTTTTTTTTTTTTTTTTTTTCTGAGGCAGAGTCTTGCTCTGGTGCCCAGGCTGGAGTGCAGTGGTGCTATCTCGGCTTAGTGCAATCCCTATGCCTGGCTACTTTTTGTATTTTTAGTACAGATGGGGTTTCGTCATGTTGGCCAGGCTGGTCTCAACTCCTGACCTCAAGTGATCCAGCTGCCTTGGCCTCCCAAAGTTCTGGGATTACAGGCGTGAGCCACTGCACCTGGCCCAAAAGACAGTATTTTGTTCCTTTTTATGGCTGAATAGTATTCCATAGTGTAAAAACCTATTGTAATAAAATTAAAAAAAAATCTTGGTTCACTGTAATCCATTGTACCACTCTATTTGGGAAGCTCTGGTAGAAAAGTCTAAAGTTATCTATAAAATGATAAACTCTTTACAGAGTCTTCATGGGTAAACATGGGACAGTAAAGCCTTGTAGATGACAGTCTTTTCACCACAGAAAGGTGTGCGCATGTGTGTGCATGCATGCGTGCCCATCCCCGGTCTAGGGAGGGAAGGGGACAGTCAGGCCTCACCTGTCTTCCTCCTGGGCATGATGCCCAGCGCCTGTCGGGTGCTGGACGTGGGCCAGGTCCTCGCCCTGCCGCTGCTTCCTCTTGTCCCTGATACTCAGGCAGATGGAAAGCAGCAGCAGCATCACCCCTGCCCCGACCAGCACGTAGGCCACGGAGAAGGTCTTGCTCTTGAGGATGCTGCTACCCACTTCGGTCTTGTTGCTGCCCTGAGCTGTTGGCCTCTCCGCTGCACTGAAACCAGGTACCAGGTTCCACATGGCCATGATCACCCCAAGGACCAGCATCCCCAAGCCGATGGCAGTCAGTGCATAGTGAGAGCCGTTGGCCTTGGACTGGGCCATCGTGTCAGTGGGAGGAGGGCGAGGCCCGGTTCCAAGAAAGAAAATAAATATACAAAAAGGAACAGTTGCAACAAAGCCCCCTTAAATGCACCCCCACAAAATTGCTCGCCCCACGCTAGAAAAATATCAGCCAAACTCTGGAGGGATGGTTCTGAGCAATCATGAGGACTCCTGTGTAGATGGCTGTGGTGGAAGGGCCTGCAAGGAAAGCAGAAAGAGTAGAGAGAACCATCAGTTCCGATTCCAGACGCTTTGTGAACGGGGCGGCTCTGCTCTTGAAGGAGTTAAGCCACAGTACCGAGCCCGCTGACTCTGGCTGGGCCTCGCCTTTGATGCATTCCAGATGTCTTATGTGTGAGGCTGCAAGAAGGGAGGCTGGTCTGCCTACCCTCCTACTCCCTGAAAAGGAAAAACCAGACCTTACCCTGCAGGAGGCCAGAAAGGTCAGAGCTCAGGTCATTAAAACATTGTGTGGAATTTAATGAAAGGCAGTAAAATCTCAGCTCTGGATGGAGGCTGCTCTCAGAGAGTGAGGGATAGGATGAATGGGCCACCATGATTTTAACAGACTTGCCTGGGGGACAGGGCCTCAGCCAGTGGTATGTCCAGGCCAAACAGCCTACTGCCCTCTGTCTACCACTCTCAGTGGCTCCCTATTTCCTGAAGGAGAAAATCCAGCTTCTTAGAATGTTGCTGCTCATGGTGGCCTTAGCCTGGGTCCTGCCTCTCCTATTGCATCTCCCAGCCTGCCTTTCTTTGCACATGCCCCCCACCACCCTCCAGAACTCCTCAGTTCTCTGGTCACCCCAGCTCAGGTGCCTCTTTCATGTGCTCCCCAAAGCCTCCAGCAACCACTGTGGTGAGTCTCTCTCTTCCCACAGCATCCATCATCATCTCTAAGCCTGGCACACAGCAGGGACTCAAAAAATGTTTGTAGAGTCAATGCTGGATAAAATGAATACAGGCCACGAGAAGCCGCCCAGCAAGACAAGCTTCTCTGAAGCCACACCAAGTTCTCCCTTTGTTAAAGGGGGCAGAGGCCTGCACAGTCTTCCTCTTTGCTCCTGTGCCCAGCTGGACAAAATAAACCTTCTTTCCATGAAGCAGCTCGGAGACCCTGCACTAAGGGGAGCAGCCTGCAGTCTTGAGATTCCACAGCATTTGTCGGTTGTGAGTGAGCCAGAGAAGCAGTCACTTAAGGCTTTAGGTTAGAACATTTTCAAGGATCCAGGAGGAGAAGCTAGCAATGCCCCTGGCTAAACCGCACTCCCCCCACCCCCCACCCCGTAAGTTATTCCTGTGACAGGCACTTTTGTAAAACAGTAAAATTTACAAGATGTTTAGCTGGGCAAGGTCCTGTTTACAATTCTGCATTCTTTCCAATCTCTCCAAAAGGATGGCTGACCAGGCTGCTTGAAATCTGATGCTGCAAAGATATTTTCTTATGAAACTGTGAGTTTATCTGAAATTGACCACTTTGTTAAAAGATACTCTAAAAATATTTGGAATAACATCCTTTATCAGCTTGAAGTCTGTTCCTTCCTTTTTTTTTTGCTCAACAAATATTTCTTCTGCATCTAACTACCCGCTAAGCAGCATGTTAGGCACTGGAGAAACAGCAGCGAGAAAGTTAAGGATTAGCAGAGCTCATGGCTGTAATCTTAGCACCTTGGGAGGCCAAGGCAGGAGGATCACTTGAGGTCAGGAGTTTGAGACCAACCTGACTAACATGGAGAAATCCTGTCTCTACTAAAAATACAAAATTAGCCAGGCATGGTGGCGCAGGAGAATCACTTGAACTTGGGAGGCAGAGGTTGCGGTGAGCTGAGATCACACCATTGCACTCCAGCTTGGGCAACAAGACTCAAACTCCGTCTCAAAAAAAAAAAAAGGATTAGTAGAGCTTCTAGGCCAGCAGGAAAATGATCTATAGGGAATACCAATAAAGTGGGAGGGAAGTATTGGAACTGTGGGATTAGACAGCAGCGTGTCCTAGCTCAGGGCTGTGGGACACACAGCAAGTCCATGTGGGAGAGAAGTCTTACTGCCGTCATTGGGCCTGCACCCTGAATGCACAGCACTACGTGTGTGCATGTGTGTGAACGCACTGGCTCTGCTCTTGGAGGAGTTAGGAAGAAACACCAAGGTATACTGGTGCATGAACACATGGGTTGGTGCATGTGTATGCACACATGAGCACATGTGCATACCTGTGAGCACCTGTGTACATATGCATGCATATGGATGGAATATGAACAGGTAGGTGTGGGCATGTGTGTAGTGTGCAGGGCATTGAATAGGGATCCCACTGCCGACCGCTGCTGCGGTAGGACCAGTTGGGAAGGGCACCATACACAAGGATATTTGTTTCTTACAGTATCACACATGGCAAAAGGAAGGATGGGGGCTCTGGCAGCCTTAGGGATGCACTGGTTCTGCCAAATGGATCCGAGACAAGGTCGGATTTGGAGGGTGGAGAAGTGCACGCTGGGGGCTGGTGCTGGAAGCAGGAGTGATACAACTACCAAGTTCTGAGCACCTGCTAAGTGCCTGACAGGGAGGCCCTGTACCTGAGAAGCTGAGAGTGTGTCTAGCAGACTAGTGATTTGAGCTGCTTTAACCCCCTCCCTGCCTGCTCTTATTAATTCTCCATTCCAGCTTTAGCTTTATGCTGTATGAGAGAAAGACACGCTCCAGATGCGAGTCATGGGCGGAGATGAAAATATCAGGATTGGCTGGGTACGGTGCCTCATGCCTGTTATCCCAGCACTTCGGGAGGCTGAGATGGGCGGATCATGAGGTCAGGAGATTGAGACTAGCCTGGCTAACACGGTGAAACCCCATCTCTACTAAAAAATATATATACATGAAAAATTAGCCAGGCATGGTGGCATGTGTGTGTAATCCCATCTACTCGGGAGGCTGAGGCAGGAGAATCGGTTGAACCCGGGAGGCAGAGGTTGCAGTGAGCTGAGATGGAGCCATTCCCTTCAGCCTGGGCTACAGAGCAAGACTCTGTCTCAAAAAAGCAAAAAAAAAAAGGAGTAATACATTTTTTTTGATCTGATAAACTGTCAGTGATTAAAAACAGGCGATAATACTCATTGTGGAGAAAGATGTTGGGATGGTAGTGTCATGGCATTTTTTTTGGTGACAAGTTTTGGCATCTGTAGAACAAAAGTTTCAAAATGTGTGTACCCTTTGGCTCTGTAATTCCAACGTCTAAGAATGATGTACAGAGACATTCATCACAGCTTTACAGTGGTCAGAAGCTAGAAACCACTTCAACAGCCAATAATCCAGATCAGGGAAATAAATTATGGTTCATGCACTTATGAAATTACGGTCTCAAAGCAGCTAATGTATTTTTAAATCAAACAACAAGGTTAAAACAACAGTATGTTCAGCTTGATTCTAATTTTATAAAAATTCTCTATACACAGATGAATATATGGGAAAAAGAAGCCTGGATGATTGTACTTACATTAAAATAAAAGAGACGATGTAGTTTTATATATACACAGGTATGTAAAAATCCCAGGGGACACCTTCCAGCCTTGTACCAATGATTGCTTCTGGGAATAAAGGAAACTTGGAAAGTGTACCCTTCACTCTCTCTCTTTTGAATTTTTACAATCTGACTGTATTGCTGCAATGGTAGTAGCATCGCTGAGTGGTTAAGAGTGAGTGTGGGACCCAGGCTATCCAGGCTCACATCCTCACTCTATTCCTTCCCAGCTGTGTGACCCCTGGCAAGTTACCTAACCTCTCTGTGTCTCAGTTTCCACAACTGTAAAATGGAGATAAAAACTTTCGGCTGGGTGTGGTGGCTAACGCCTCTAATGCCAGCACTTTGGGAGGTTGGGGCGGGTGGATCCTGAGATCAGGAGATCGAGACCATCCTGGACAATGTGGTGAAACCCCATCTCTACTAAAATACAAAAAATTAGCAGGTGTGGTTGTGCACATCTGTGGTCTCAGCTACTCGGGAGGTTGAGGCAGGGGAAATCACTTGAAGCTGGGAGGCGGAGGTTGCAGTGAGCCGAGATCTCGCCACAGCACTCCAGCCTGGCGACAGAACAACACTCCGTCTCAAAAAAAAACCCCAAAAAATAAAACAAAACAAAGAAACAAACAAAAACACCACAAAACTCTCTAGTACCTACTTCATAGGGGAGTTATGATAAATCAACAATATACATAAAGAACCGAGAACAGTGTGTGAGCAGCCCAACCGTAAGTTCTTAGACAAAAAATTGTGATTTAATATTAAAGCTTGTATTCTCAGTGGGTAAAATCATCCACAAGGGGCAAGAACTGTTTCCTGGGGATGGGGTGAGAAAAATCTTGACTATTACAGTGGTTTGTGGCCCTCCATAGGGCCACAGAACATAAATAGATCCACAGTGCATCCTCGGCGTTAAATTTTCAAGCACTCCAAAAAGAACGTCTAAAAAGGCTTCTCAGGGAGGGCAAGGTGAGGGGAAAGGTTGAGAAACACTATTTAATGTATCGTACTAAGTTTCACAACGGTCCGACTATACATCATGATGTTTATAGTTATTTTCCCTGTGTGATGGAATTAACGATGATTTTCATTTTCTTTTTCTTCCTGGGAGAATAAGAATTAGAAAACAGAAGTGTCTATATGTTCCCTTCATAAACTAGTTTTGGTTTTCTGGGTTCGTGGCAGGGTCACGTGTGCGACGGTCACATACACTTGTTCTTCAAGTTCAGCCCTCTTTGGGGACCGTGATCTTGATGGGTCCCTGGGGAGTGTAGAAACCCGGCTCCCAGAGGGTTAGCTGCTCAGCTGTTTGTCCTGTTTCTGGCTTGTTGACCCTGGACAGCACCCCAGTTATATTTAGCACGATGTTCTTTCCCTTTCAAAAATATGGAAAGAAGCTAATTTTATGCTTAGAGAATTTGGACCACACAGCTTTCGATATGTCCCTAAAACAGAGTAGGCGTGGTGGGCAGTCTGGGGTCCCGGCTTGGCCAAACTCAACCTCTGGAGCCCTATCACTGCTCATGTCTGAGGAGGCCCTAAGGGAGACATGAATGATTCTATATCTGAGTTTTTCTTTAAAAAATTATTAACCAGATAGAAAGGTTCCTACCTGTTGTTACTTGAGGAGACTCAGGGCAGGCCTGAAGGCAACTGTTCATGCTAGAGTCTTGAGTGAAAGATCCACCTGTAGAAAACCACAGAGATGCAGTCTTCTAAGTAAGCTGTGAGCATTGCAATTGGAGTTACCTGTGGGGGAGGCATATGTTTTCTTTGCTTTTAGGGGGAAAAGGCAGGGGTTGGGGTAGGTGTCTGTGTAAGACAAGTGGTACCAAAAGAAGCCAGAATTCTGTATGAAGAATATGAGTTGCAGAAGGATTACATGGTAGCTAACATTTCTCAAGCCCTCTCATGGTTTTATCCACCTTAGACACGTGCTCCAGAGATTATCAGAGGAAACACTCTCAGGTCATCTTATAAGGAATGTATAGATCTTGACACCAAAACTAGAAAAGGACAAGGCAGGAGAGGAAAATGACAGGCCAGTCTGACCCAACAGCCCAAACAAAAATCAGCAAATGGAATTCAACCATTTTTCTTTTAAGATGGAGTTTCACTCTGTTGCCCAGGCTGGAGTGCAGTGGTGCAATCTCAGCTCACTGCAACCTCCACCTTCTGGGTTCAAGTGAGTCTCCTGCCTCAGCCTCCCAAGTAGCTGGACTAAAGGCACACACCCCAATGCCTGGCTAATTTTTATATTTTTAGTAGAGACAGGGTTTCACCATGTTGCCCAGGCTGGTCTTGAACTCCTGACCTCAGGAGATCTGCCCGCCTCGGCCTCCCAAAGTACTGGCATTACAGGCATGAGCACCCAGCCTCAATCATGTTTTTTAAAAAGATAACACATCATACAGCTAGGTGAAGTGGCTCATGCCTGTAATCCCGGCACTTTGGGAGGCCAGTGCGGGCGGATCACGAGGTCAGGAGATCCAGACCGTCCTGGCCAACATGGTGAAACCCCATCTCTACTAAAAATATGAAAAATTTAGCTGGGCATGCTACAGTGCGCTTACAGTCCCAGCTACTCAGGAGGCTGAGGCAGGAGTATCACTTGAACCCAGGAGATGGAGGTTGCAGTGAGCTGAGATCACGCCACTGTACTCCAGCCTGGCGACAGGGCGAGACTCCATCTAAAAAAAAAAAAGAGATAACATATCACAATGAAGATGGGTTTATCCCAAGAATGCAGGGTTTGGTTCAACATCAGAAATTGGTCCCAGGAGAAAGGATAAACCAGAACAGTGTCACTCTGTGCAGTATTACGGAGCAGTGAAGCTGAGTCAACTGCAGCTGTGTGCACCAGTGAGGATAATCCTGACAAACCTAATGTTGAACAGAAAAGCACACTGCAGAAGAAAGCACACTGCAGAAGTCCACTTAAAGGAAGTTCAAAACCAGGCAAAACCAAGCCATATGTTGCTCCATGAGGAAGAAATGCAAAGACTATAAACTAAAATTCAGGACAAATTCAGGCTATCTTCTGGCCAGGCACAGTGCCTCACACCTGTAATGCCAGCACTTTGGGAGGCCAAGGTGGGAGAATTGCTTGAGGTCAGGAGTTTGAGACCAGTCCAGGCACTATAGTGAGACCCCATCTCTACAAAAAAATAATTTATAAAAGCCCAGTGTGTGGCTCACACCTGTAGTCTCAGCTACTTGGGAGGCTGAGGTGGGAGGCTCTGCTTGAGCCTAGGGGGTCAAGGCTGCAGTGAGCCTTGAGTGTGCCACTGTACTATAGCCTGGATGACAGAATGAGACCCTGTCTCAAAAAAACAACAAATAAAAACTAACTCCTGGAGAAATAAAGAATGAAGAATGGTATTGGGGAGGGAACAGCAGAGGGTACATGAGTGTTTTACTATAATATTCCTTAAAATTCATATATATCTTATATATACTCTTTTGAGTGACTGAAATATTTTGTAACAAGAATGTCCAAAAACCCATAGATGTGTTTTTATTACTCTTAGCTTAAAATCCAAACTCCTTGGCCATGACCCTCAAGCCCCATCAGATGGGATAAGGCCCTGTCTTGCTGTCACAGTTTGTATCTCCTGCTCACCAGCCCTCAGTGGCTTCCTTTCTGCTCCTCAGCAGCACCAACCCCTGCCTACCACAGGCCTTGGCACTTGCTATACCTACTGCTTGAAACCACCCTTCCACCTGTCTCTTTTGTCCAGCTATTTATTTTTGTATTGAAAAATTTTTTAAAAATTATTTTTAGAGACAGGGTCTTTCTTTGACACCCAGGCTGGAGTGCAGTGGTACGATCATAGCTCACTGCAGCCTCGAACTCCCAGGCTCAAGTGATCCTCCCGCCTCAGCCTCCCAAGTACCTGGGACTACAGGTGCGCGCCCTCACACCCAGCTAATCTTTTAATTTTTAATCTTTTTGTAGAGATGGGGTCTTGCTGTGTTGCCCAGGCTGGTCTTGAACTCCTGGCCTCAAGCAATCCTCCTGCCTTGGCCTTACCCAAGTGCTGGGATTGCAGGCATGAGCCACCATGCTTGGCCATCTGGCTACTTCTCAGTAGAGACCTCTGTTTTTCAGCTGGAATGCCACCTCCTCAGTGAACACCTCTCTGACTACCCAATGGAAATGCACCCCCCCACACAGCTACACTCAGGTCCCCTGCTGAGTTCCTTGCGTTCCTTCCCATGGATGGCTGATATCGCAGCAGTCAGTAATAATCTCAATTTTGCTTTCTCACTGGCTCCCCATCTCCCCAAATGGAGTATGAATTCTCTGAAACAAGGTTTTTGTCTGTCTTGTCCATGTGTGCTCCAGGCCCCAGCACCACGTGCCAGGAACTACTCAGGTACTGAGTAGATATTTATAGAACAAATACATGAATATCTGGTAAGTTCAAAAGTTGAACCAATGTCTCATTCAATAAGGGGAAATTCCCAGTCCAAGGCTGACCCTGAAGGGGAGAGGATTAGAAAGAGCTAACTTTCAGGAAGAGCCGATACCCAAATCTTGTATCTGTATGCAAATAATTTGCTGGCAACATGAGAAAAATATGCAGAATAAATGTGGTTTCCATTGTGACCTGAGAAAGTGTCTGTATTAGAACTCCCTGGTGGGGCTGGAGGTTTCAGCGGCTGCCTAATATTCGCAGGTGGAAGTCAGCAGGAGAGCATGGGAGCCTTTAGCCTCATCCCTCCATCCTGGGCAGAGGCTCTTTCCACTCCTGTGCATGCCCTTGGCCAACCAGAGCTGGCAGGGAGGGGCTGTGCTGTGGGTGTGGAGGAGTGGGGGCTGGGGAGGTAGACCCAGCTCAGACATCAGCATGGCTGAGACCTGAGTGGGGCCATCACAGCCAGGCACATCTGGATTGAGTCTCCGTGAACTTGAACGTGAAGACAACGACTGAAATAAGATGGCACAATGGAAAGCAGTGCTGCCCGGGCTGAAATAGATAAAGGGCCCAAGCACTGATGGCTGGGCCTTCCCAATGAATTGCAGAAACTCTCCAGGACATAGTTGAGAAACTGGGAATTGGATGTAGAGCCTCACGTGGCCACTGTGTTCTGTGCTGCAGCCCTGGAAGGTGCAGTGGCAGAAGCAACCAGCCCAGTTGGCTTTAGTGGGAGGAGGTCTTGCCAGTTGGAGGCAGCTGGCAGTGCTACCAACCCCTGTGACAAAGGGGCTCCTTGAGCATTCTCCCTGCACCGACCTCTTCCTGCCAAGCTGCATAATTGGGAAAGGGATCCCAGGTTCCACCGGGCTGTGCTACATTCTCATCACAAAGGAGGAATTCAGTGGGGCTCTCTGGGCCAAGTTTCAGCCCACAATCACTTTTGTCACAAGTTCCAGTCCCATGCAGTGGGGGCAGGAAGAGAGGCGCTGAGCGGCTGCTCCTGTCCCGCATGGAAGGGAGTTTCAGGCCACTTCCCCAAGGACTAAGGTCAAAGGGTGTCAGGTTCCTGTTTCAACAGAGTGCAGGGGGTCTTTTAGACTGTGCACTCAGGAAAAACAAAAAGCCATGTGCAAATGAGGCATAAAGGCAGGGGAGTGGGGAGGAGGGCTGCCCAGCTGGGGAGAGCTGATGGGAAAAAGAAGAAATGCTGTCAAGTAATACACAAGGCAGGGTAAGAACAATAGTGGTAACAATAATAGTCCCTGCAGCAGCTCTCATGAAAACAGCAGCAGCTGATCCTCAGCATGAATCAGGTGCATTTCTAAACCCACCCGATCCTCACAGCCACCCTTCAAGGAATGATCCGCCCCACCATCTCAGAGTCTCAGACAGGGTAAGTAATCTGCCCTGAGCCACACAGCTGGTAAGCGGCAGGCGACTCAATGAATTCCAGCTGACTGTAAGTCCACCTGTGCCTGCACTGTGTGGGTTCCCACAAAGCTGAGTCCCTGGGGGCCACTTTCTTGGCAAGGCACCCAGGTTTCCAGAGGTGCTTCAGAACAAAAGTACAAGGGGGTGACAGGTAAAGGTTTCTCTCTCTCCTTTCTTTCTTTCCTCTCTCTTTTTCTTCTTTTTTTGACAGGGTCTCACTCTGTCACCCAGGCTGGAGTGGCATGATCTTGGCTTACTGCACCCTTGACCTCCCAGGCTCAAGCAATTCTCCCACCTCAGCCCCCAAGGAGCTAGGACTACAGGCACATGCCACCATGCCTGGCTAATTTTTGTGTCTTTTGCAGAGAAAGGGTCTCACTCTGTTGCCCAGACTGGTCTTGGATTTCCTGGGCTCAAGCGATCTGCCTGCCTCAGCCTCCCAACGTTCTGGGATTACCAGGCATGAACCACTGGACCTGAACACTTCTTTTGAAATGACTTGTTGAAGATTTTGATTTAAACAATTCCTGGTCCCCTCCTGTGTGCCACGGGCTTTAGGAGATAGAGAGATGTGTGAGACAGACCTTTGCAATCCAGCCGGAAGACAGGTGATTCTCCCTAATGGAAGGGAAGTCAACATCAGATAAAGAGGCAAGGTGTGTTGAACGCCGATTCTGTGCCAGGCCCTCTGGGGAGCTCTTTATGTGCATAATCATTTAATAGTTATTGGTTCTATTTTATAGGTAAGGACACAGGTTCCAGGAGGTAAAGTAATTTATCTAAGGTCACACATTGAGTGCACGGCAGGGATAGGGTGTGCCTGACTCTAAAA